TCATCCCCAGTAAGCCTGGGATAAACCCCTTGTGTAACCTATTAATCTGGGATTGCCATCTGCATGTGTGTGTGTGTGTGCCCCTATGGATGCAGGGACACAGATGGGTGGAGCCCAAACTCCCTTCCTTCATCAGGAATTCCGCAGGGAATTGTGTGTGTCGCTGTTTGGGGAGAGGAAGGTGGAACAACCTGGCCTTGGACACTTCCAGGGATGGGATGGGGCACCCTGTGCCAGGGTGGGTGGGGATTCCCAGGGCTCCCCTCTGGGCTGATGGGGTTGTTTGGCCTTGTAGAAGAGCAAGAGCTGCCCTGTGGATCTGGGGTGGCTCTGGCTGTGCCAGGACTTGGTGCTGGATGAGCAGGTGACACTGCAATGGGAGTGACTGAGCTTGTGGTTTCCTCCTTGGGAAATCTGGGAGCAGGTTCCCTGGAACCCTTTCCCGGTGGATGAACTTGTAGCGCTCGTAAGACAATTTCCTCGGTGCCTCTGAGGGTATTTACTTTTTCCATTTCAGTTCTACATCTGTTCACTTTACCGACTTTGGAATTAGCAACCATCTTATTTAGGAGGAGGAATTGATTTCTCACAGTCTCTTACTGCTGCTCTTGGTATAATTAAAGCATATTGCAACGTGAGGAATTTCTCCTGGCCTGGGAACTGCTTTGCCACTTGGGTAATTCTGTAAACCAAGAAAAGCTTTTCCTTTTCCTCTGGAATGTAAATTATAGCTACTTTAAAGCCTTTGTTCTGCTGCAGGGGACTGAGGGGCTCCTGGTTTAGGGCTGTGCAGAGGCCTGGGGGCTTTTGCAAATCAGTCCCTCAGGGATTTGGCATCCAGGCTGCTGCAAATTCGGACTGAGGCACAAACTGCTCCTGCCCAGTGTGGTGTGAAGGGGAACTGGGACAAGCTTATTCCTTCTGAGCCCCTGGGAAGGGCTCTCTGCTGCTCTGAGCTTCATGGGGCAGCCCCAGGGTGGCTGTGGGGCTCTGGCTGACCCTCCCTGGATGATCCCTGTTCCTTCCCTTCCTTGTCACTGGGAGTGCCTCTGGATGGCCAAATCAGGACACCTCAAGTGGGTTTTTCTGTGCCAGAATCTTTATCTGGAGCATCCCCGTGTGTCCATCAGCTGGGGATGGAGGGCTCTTCTGCCCCTTTTCCTCCCACAAGCTCTTCCTCATCTCATGGTGTGAGAGAAGGAGGGTTTGTTCGTGGTGCCACAGGCTCCGCTGGAATTTCAGCTCGTGGCTTTTACATCTGCAAGGAGAGATGCAAAGGAAACCAGGAGGCAGAGATGGGAATGGCACCTTCCTTAGCAAGGCTGCTTCTGTTCCTTGACCTTCTGAGAGGAGCTGTTGCAGGACCATCACAGCTGCAGGGCCAAGGTGGACTCAGCGTGGTTGTAAGTCCGAGTAACCCTTAACCCTTCCACGAGGTTTCATTCTATATTTGCTTCTCCAACTGGCTTCCTGTGGTGTTGGTTGGGTTTTTTTCTGAGAGATTTACTTAGTTCCCAGCTGCTGTTCCAATTCTCTTTGTCACTCACCTTCCTGTGGAATTTATTTCGGTTCTGGGAGGGTTTTGCATCTCAAGCCGGGGGATGGTCATGCCAGCTCAGAAACGGATGGAACCGAAATAAGAGCCTGGAGAGCAATGATGGGAGTGATTAACGTCACAGAGAGACAGGAATAGCATTGCTGGGAGTGCAGGGGAGCAGGTAGGGAGGGAAAGGAGGGAGGGGGAGGAACAGAGCTTAGCAGAAAAATCAGTTTTTCCTTTCTACTCTTCAAAGAGAACAGCAAGTGAGCATCAGAAATCACCCGCTGGAAGGCTGGGGAGAGGTGTCTGTCCCGTGTCGTGTGGCTGAGCTGCGGAGCCACTCGTGCTACAAATTATCTTTGAGCCCAGATTATGAATTTTCAAACCTCATTACTACTCCCACCACTGCCTGGAGGGAGGCAGGTACACGAGGCACGGTAATAAACCTGGAGATTTCTGGGTTTTATTCCTTTCTCCT